TAGAATTAAAAAAAAAAAAAAAAAAAATGTATCTATCTTTTATCTATTATAAATTTTTTTTTATTTTCGCTAAAACAATTTGTACATATTTATATTACACAAATTTCTTATAATATCTATTTACATATCAGYGTAAAGTGACAATGACAATACGACAAAGTAGCGCTACAAAGCATTACACAATTTAACCGTTATGTTCGAAGTAATTTCCCCTACAGCACGTGAATTTACAAAAGTATTTCTAAACACACACAAACGCACGAATTGTGTGTATAACAATGCAAACATGCTTCGTTTGTTGAGCATCTTGCTAACTAATCTTCAAAATGCCATACCTGTGCGCCCACACTCCTTCTCCCCGCTACCGCTGCCCGCTCGCTATTGTCGCTGGGTAGTCATATACGCGGTGGTGCGAAGATTTGCTTGCTTAGCTTAACAATAAACCGAGGAAAATTAACTCGCATCCCCCTATCCCCCGGAGTAAAAGTAAACCATTGCAGCGAAGCAATGTGAAGCAAATACTCTTTTCCTCTCTCCTGCGTGTTATATTTACTGTGTATACTCGTATGCATGTGTGTGTGTTTGCTGGTATTTCTAATGCATTCAGAACGCGCTCGTTTCTTCGAAAGCAGTGTCATCGCCATTTTGCTATTTTTTCTACATTTCACACACACACACACATACACATTTGCTGGAGGTTTATTATAACTTCGAAAATTATGCATAATGCGTTATAAGTGAGCTGGAGCTTATTTCATTACAAATGCATGGCTGCTTGGCGGTGTGTGTGTGTGTGTGTGAAGGAGTGCATTTGTAATGTAGTTTACATACAATATTGTCATTTATATATGCGCGCTGGTGTTTGTCATATACATATATAATTCATATGTGTTTATATGAATGTGAGAATAACAAGAGTAAAGCTAAGTTTTCAATTATTTTTGTTGTATTTTGGGGTGTGTGAATTTTATTTGGCGTCTGCCATTCTTCAATATGAGTATGGGACTTTGTAGATTCTTTCCAGTCTTTGGAAAATCTAAGGTTTTGATTCTAACTAACATATTCATTTTAGGTTAAAGTGCAAAAGCTTCTAAAGGGGTTAGGCTAGTCCATGAAGTTTAATAAAATTAATTATTTTTCAAATTTACTGTTGATCCCTAAAACACAACTCAATTGCTATAATATGGAAAAAAATCTAAGTCTTTGAATTAATCAGCTGCTTCTCGCAAGTCTTTAAACTAATTTTCCCAGAAACTGCATTTCTTGTATTGCTATTTTACGYAAAATGTAGCACCTTTAGAAATTTCAGAAATACAAATGATTACTTTTATTGGAGGAAGYTTTGAACACTTCTTCCAACTGTGCCCAGTAGGGACTCCATTCAATACGAGGGTGCGAATGAAGAGCACATCAAGGTCTTCAGCTTCGTGCAGCTCTATTCTAAAAAGTATCTTTCCTCTGAAAACTCAGAAAGGTAAGGGWTTTTCCTTTACCTTCCCTTTCCTTTTTGGTGGACATCGGAGCTAACGAAAATCAGTCCTTCGAACATAAGACATTTCATCAGAGGAATTGGTTCTAGACACGATTGTTGGTTTTGTAAAACAGGGCTGCTTTCCATTACTCCTAAGATCATTTGAAATATTCTAGCTAAAACTAGGATATATTTTAGGGTTCTAAACTGCCGAAATTTCATACACAAGTTGCAATTGTATTTGTGATTTTTGTGTTTTAATTTTTTTATATTCAAAAGTATTCGAGTAAGAGTACCAACCTTTATTACTGTAGTATCTAATATAGTTATAAAAGCTTTTAATTTTGTAYCCGATTTTTATGGTAAAATACCTTGATKTAGTGGGATTGTGACTGCCGTGACTAAGTCATTSGAGACCCTACCGGTGGAAGTTTACRTTATTWTTCTGGGRTAGCCGTTAATGCCTCGYCCACAATGCACTCAATGCTTGTCTTCAACTCAAGCTGCAGCTGATTAATCAGGCCAAGGTGGAAAATTATTAAGGAGAAGGTTGCGGTGGAAACATTGAGCCACGTTATTTSATTGTTCAACCTATCSCTGACAAAGCCGAAATCAGCATTTGAGGTGGAAATAATAAATATTAACACAGAATATATTGACTAAAATACTGGTGGTTGAAAACATTTTTATGAAGGGTTGCCACCTATTTATATTGTGAAATATTTTAAATAGTTAATGTATGGCCTTGCAATAAAGCAGATTCAAAAGATATTTTGGTATGGGAAATTTACACCGATATTTTTGAAAAGTGGTCATTATATTAATATTTACATRTGAGCACTGGTATCTTGTAACAGCTGAAAATAAATCTAAATATTCTTATATCCTCCCAAAGTARAATTTCCCTAGTGACTTCCAGCTGAGAATATCCTCTAAACGTGAATGAAGAAGAGTGTTAGTAGGTGTAGATAATAATATTTCAATCTATACCGATGAATTGCATTTACCAAACTCAGTTAGCATCTTCCAAGCGGAAGTACTAGGCATACAGAAGACCTGTGGAGTTTTTTTGAAAAACTAGGTTAGTAAACAGAAAGCTACCACATATACAGAGAGCCATGTGGCATTGCTAACATTGTGGTATTGAAATTTTGAAACCATCTTAGACAACGACTGATTGAAGGCTTTCAACATACCGCAGTTCAACTCCGCTTGTCCATTATTTGAGTTTTCGATCATAGGAACATTTCCGGTAACGAAACAGCAGGAGAGTTGRCTTAATTCTGGACGACTCTGAGTCRGAGACAACATCGTRCTCACTACAAATGATCAAGAGGGAGGTAAATACGCAGACTGAACAAATATCTCAAAATATCAAATTCTTATTGACCAATAAATAACTAAATAAAATGCACAAAATTAATTATGAGAAATGTCAACAAAAAAACGCGCAAAAATGTTGCAAGTACATAATATATTATATGACATATGTGCGTGTGTATATGTGCGTAAATGCAACTAATGATAGATGAGCTGAACAAAAGATTAAAATTTAATCACACAAATCGATTACAACAAAAAAACTCAACTCCTGAAAACTAACTTACATAATATTGAATGTGCATATTTGCAACGCAAACAACAAAAAATATGAAAAAAAAATTTTCATAAACAACATGTGTGTGTGCGCTCGATTGCATTTAATGAGTCCGATTGGTAAATACAAGTGTACATTAATTAAATACTAATTAATTGACATTAAGCGAGCAACGCGCACAACCTCAAACCCAAGAGGAGCGTCATCACACCACACGAGAGAAAAAACGCGAAAGCAAAACAAAAGTGTAAATGAAAAAAATTAAAAAAAAAATACTAGAAATGGCAAACAATGGTTAGCGAAAGGCAAAACGCAAAAAAAGCAACAACAATAGACAACAACCACAGAGTGCGAGCCACGGCCGCCGGACCTATCAACTCGATTGTACACTTCACCGACACACGGCACCTCTTTGGCAGCCACCACAATTGCATCTAATTGACGCCAAATTACAGKAGCAACAACAACGCCAGCAGCGCTGCACTGCACTTGCTCATGCTGATTTATGCGCAACAGCCCGCCTGTGGGCGCTACAGCCTAGTTGTATATGAGTGTATGTAAATATGTATGTAYGCATGCATGTTTGTGTKTTCCGTCAACGATAAGCTGGAAAAAACTGCTGTGTGRCATAAACATGGGCGCGCAACATGTGACTTGTTGTCCTAGTTTTCATGCCGGATATTGCTCGACATGGCATGTAGTGCGCATARCACAAAAGCGCTTGAGTGAGCGTAAACAATGATTTTTAACTCAAAAGTTGGCGGAGAACGCACGTTTTGGATTTTAGAGAATGCAAAATTTATAGGAGAGAGAAGAAAATGTTAGTAAAAAGCAAGAGCTTTAAAAGCTTTTAAAGACGGTAAAAAGCTTTTGAAGGGAAACGCTTTTGAAGGCAGTGAAAGGCCTTTGTAGCCTGTGAAAAGCTCCTGAAGTCAGTGAAAAGCTTCGAAACTTTGAAAAAATGAGGTRTTGGTTGTTGCTCTTAATTTCTGGTTTGGCGCTTTGTATACTTTAAGGTTTTGCTGTTAAAGCTATTTTAGGACCACAAATAAGTAACGGTATAGATATATACTAAGTGAAGGTAACGAGAGTAAATTGTTTTTTGTAAAGAATTATATAATAATATAATATAATAATATAAAAGCTTATTTATTATAAGCTATATGTAAAAAATTTGTAAGCTTTTGAAAGCAAAGAAATTCATGAACCCAAGTATTATGCTAGCATAATTTCTTGGGAACATATTAAATGCATATATTAATAAAAGCTTTGTGGAATATGCTGCTGTGCTTTTCTTTGAAAAGCTACAATTGTTTCATTTTAAAAGTGAATATGGATGAGATTATCACTTTGTAGGRTATGACTTTTGTATCAGCTCACTTTGGACTACAGAGAATAACCCAGTGAGCTTTTCAATATGGTTSAATTATGACAATGATAATAATGTTTAATTTGCTTCTCACTAATTTAGTAACTTATCGGTTGGTATGTATGTATGTTATAGGTGGTTAAAATTACTTAGATTTCATAAAAGTTTTCGAAAGAAAGCTTTTGAATGCTTAAATTAAAAATTAATTGTTTCCCGGCTTTATATCAGCGTATAACTGTAACCAGTTATAGCAATAAAAGTTCATCTGCAAATTTTTGTATATAATCCCGAAAGTTTTTAAAAAAGCTCTRAGCTTTTCCTTATTTAATTTATTATAAGTAAACATTTTTATGAATTCGCTTATAATTATAAACTTTTGTAGCAATGTTTAACCCTAGAAGCTTTTAAGAAAGCTTTTCCTTATTTGATTTTTTATATTTAAGCAATAGGTTTTCAAAGAACCCGCGCGTAATAATAATTATAATACATTTTATAGCATTATATGACACAAAAAGCTTTTAAGAAAACTTAAAGCTTACCCTTATTTCTCGTTTTTCGTTATTTTAGTAAGTTCCTGTTAAAGGATTAATATTTTGCCTAAAGTTTTTGTAGCTCTAAAAGCTCTAAAAGGCTAAGCAGCTTTTCGTTGATTTTATTTCAGTTAAGCTTTTTTCGCAGTGTACATTCCCTTATTTGATGTCTGTGATTTAATAAAATGTTTTAAAATATATYTTTATTGTATTTATTGTATAAGAGAATATGTAGTAGTAGTATGGTATATTTTAAAGAGCTTAGTAATAAAATTTGTGTACTTACAGTTATTTTGCATGTCTAATTTGGTTTGGTAGTTTGTAATTATTGTTCGTACGGTCGAAGTTCGAGAATATACACAAAACAAATCAAAACAACAAACATGAAATTAGATTCTTAAAGTCACATTGATAGGAATTTTGTGTTTTTTTTTTTTTTTGTATACTTTTGTTTTTTTCTTTAAGTAAATCTAATTTAACTAAATTAGCTTAAGAGAGGACGGTGGGGTAGAGTAGTGGGCAGGAGTGTATATTAGTAGAGTGCATTTTGGATTTTAGAAAATCTAAATTTTGTACAATCTTTATTTATTTTTTTTTTTTGTTTGGGTTTTGAATCTGGTTGTGAGTTACAGTTAGAGAATAAAGSCGCGTGTTCGGGAAAACAGTTAGATTTTTAGTGCTTGAAAAACTAGAACTATTACAAACATTTCATTTAACTAYTTTTGTGGTGATGGCAACTATGAGGGATTATGAATGAAGTTAAAGTTTCTGCACAATTAATTACAAAATGGTTGAACAATGATTATTTCGTTATGTAAGACAATGTAGCAAAATGTAACACAACATAACGCAACGTAACAACACGTAATGTGGAACACTTTTCACTTTGAAAATTTATGCTTTCTCGCTAACGGTATATTATTATTACAATTAATTTTT